TTTTTTAATACAACGTATTAAGTTGTGGAAAAATGAAATGCAAAAGTAGGACATTTATTATAGTCCACCCTGTATAAATAGAAACAATTCTATCACTGTAAATGTCTCAAAAAATAAACATTTTGATTCATGATAAGAAAATCATTTTAATGCCTCTTCGAATAGTTCAAAATTGTATATATGTGTAATATTATTATAGTAATGAATATGCTTGATGAAATATTCTTAGAAAGAACGTCGATTTATTCTTTTTTTGAAATAATCAAATATAAAATCTTCTGCACAAAATATTCCGCAATTCTTTATCAAACCAATAGAAAATATGACGAGAATAGCAAAATCTTTTTCCTTGTCGAATATCAAATATTAGAATGTGATCATTCAATTGTTCATTAGTTATTTCACATCGATAAATTCCTAAATAGTATTGTTAGTGACTTTTCAGAACGAGCAGTTGTTTCATTTCAGTATATGATAAAGTTATGTGTTAGACCTCAATAACTTCTTGAGTGACTAGAAACATAGTTTTCTGAGACAATATGTTGAATATTATTTATTTATTTATTCTGTTGATTGCGATGATTGACCTATAACTTCTGATATTACTATTCTATTCATTTGTTTTGGATAGCAGCTGCAGAAACAAGATTATATATCTGGCGGATCATACATTGACAATAATTCGAACTTTTTAGCTATTCTCCGGTGAAAAGAGTAGTTATTCTGTATGTTTTGTTCTTATCTTGTGAAATTTTGTTAGAAATATATCGATCACACCGTTCCTCAATCTTAGAATCTTCGCATGGCTTCTGCTTTAGAGCAGAATGGAAGGAGAATACGATTGAATTGGAACAATATTTCATGTAATATAGATTATTATTCTATTCTACTATATCTATGATGAAGATCAATTTCATCTTATTTGTAAAAAAACAAATAATGAAATGACAACTTCGAAAATAATTAACGGAATATACATTGACTGTTTTATCGAAATCTTTGCTAATATACGAGCGAATGAATCTTCCATTGATTGTCGATCATAAAAATAATTGTTCTTTAATATATGAAATAGTTGAAAAAGATGATATTCATTGATGTTCAATATTTTTGAAAACTAATCTATATTTCTACATAGACACTTGAATTTATTCAATTATTTATGTAGAAAAAAAAGAAACATGTCTCTTTTCGTCATTGTTACTTTTCAAAAAGTATCAAATGAATATTTTAATTTTGATTTGATTTTTTTTTTGTAGAAACGATTTGATCCCAAAATCATTGAAGTAATAATGAAGAAAATCTTAATCGTGGCTGCTAATCTCATCTTTATTCTCGTATTCAGTCAATTGCCTGTTTATAAACCACGTTTGGTCATCATAAGGAGTAATTTAACTTGAATCTTAAATCATCGAGTTCATCATAAAGTATTCTTTATTGAAGATATTCTTTTTTTTTAAGAGTTGAAGAAGTATTAGAAAATACAGAATAATATTTCGATTATGCACGCACTACTTTTTATATTCAAAGAAAAATCTTTCCTGTTTTTTTTCCCCAAAAGTTGCTGATTAAATAAAGAATTGATCACGTTATTCTATAGAAGATTAAACAAAAAATACGAAAAAAAAGAAAGATTGTGTTCTTAAATTTTAATACTATCTTGTAAATTAACTTTTTTTCTTGATTTGATAATCCTTCCTTTTTTCATCTTGATCATGATCTTTTGAAGTAATTTTTTGCATTCCACATTGAAGTTCCTGTAATATATTAAATTGCTGTTCGGTTGTATCATCGGTAGGTTCATCCATCAATTCATCAGCAAACAATTCACGTGCCAACAAATTCGAAAACCATTTTCCGAATTTAGTATGATTGGGTATCTTAAGCATATCACGAGTTTCATACGGTTCAACTTGAAAACCAATAGTTCGACAGCGATCTTTCAATTTGAAAAGTTGCATTCGAAGAACTTCATAATCACGTGCAAGTTCATAAGTCATATCGAGTTGAGCGTACTTAGCCTGCTTTAATAAACCTTGAATTTCACCAACAGCCAAACCTATTTAATACAAAAATAAGAAGAATTAATATTCATGATCATAAAAGAAAATTTCTACCAATTAAAAGATTCATTGTAATAACTGTCATAAAAATAGCAAATAAAATGAACATGATATAACCAAGTTTATAGTAAGCTTCTTGATCTGATGAATACATAACATCATTAAAGTTAAGTTCACCAGTAATCATCATCGCTAAATTAAAATCGAATTGCAAGATCATAATAAAAAAAAGAGTTTATTTTAGAAAAATACCTGTTTTCTGAAGAGAGAGAATAGGTAATGAGAATGGATCAAAGTTTGAAAAAAGCATATAGAAACATAGTGCAAATCCAGAAGTGAGGACTAATAATGCAGGAAGAAAGAGGATAAACCTTATGAAAACAGCTGCCATCATAAGAGTATAGACACCAATAGTTGGAGTATATTGAAGATAATAGGATGTACCCAGGTAGCTGGAAAATAGACCAAATGCACCAATTTGCCATTGAATAGGACAACGCACAAGAACTTGTTTTTGGTAATCATTATCAAATATAAAGCAAAAACAGAGTACAACTCCACTGATTTGAAACAACAATATGAATATTTTCACTAATTCAAATTGAGAAAGACTTGATATAATCCAAATATTTTTTAGTAATATTAATATCATCAATGGATAAATGAAATATACAAGATAATTATCGACGGATTGTTTCATGCCGTTAGAACCAACTGTTCCATTTGCGATTAGTCGACAAACATTCGGGCAAAGATCAAAATCAAAATTAACATTTGTCAAATTGTAATAATATTGTGGATGTTCAACTCGTAAAGCAATTGTTGTAAAAATGCCAACGAAACTTAGATAAATCAAGAGAAATGTAAAGAATAGGCAGCCTCCGAGCGGCCAAAATTTTTTGTAAAGAAGAGTTTTGCAAATAGGCTGTTCCATTAGCTTGTATCGATCTTGATCGGCCATCAAAAAGAGTGGATGATTACGGACAAGCCTCTTAGCATCTTTTGTATAGGGTTCGTCCTTTGATATATTCATAGTTTCTGATGCTTCAATGTTTGGATTACCTGAATTTAATGAAAGAATAATGTATCTTTCCAGGATGAAATCAAACACTGCCGAAGGAATAGTAAACTAAGCATGATTATCTATCTAGAAGTTCTTCACAATTGATTATTTCACAGTTTTGATCATTAGTATTACTTTTTTTTTCTAATATATATTTATTTCTTCAAAATGAAAAGGAGTTTTATTTTCCATATCTTGTTAATAATAAGATATAAAATTAATTTGCTGACATCGTTTAATGCATTCTACTTTGGCATAACATTCGTTTATTAGTACCGATTAATCATTATTATTCAGTTCAAAACTAATCAATGAATCAGAATACTTTTCCAATATTGAAAAGAGAAAAACAGCTAACGAACTGTTTTTTTTTCACAATTAGACAGAAAAAAATGAGAGAAATAAAAAGTGTGATGAAGTGTAATTGATAAACAATTGATTAATCAAATGCTTTTCAATTGAGATTTTATTGAACGTATTCTAAATTGATCTATTATTTGATTCGAACACAGAATGTTACTATTCGATCAATATAAATCTGACTTTATTGCTTTGTACATCATGGTAGTTTTATTAGAAGCTTTATCTATTTTGCCTCTAGGTGTTTGTTCGGCGAATGATTTGAAAATCTTTTACAGAAAAAGAATGAATTATTTATTGAAAAAATAAAAATTTGAAGACTACAAAAGAATGCGATGAGTTTTAATTAATACTTTGAACAATAATAAGTTTATCAAGAGTCTTATCGTCATTAGTTTTAGGAAAATGCTAAGTTTGCTCTTTCTTATGATATAGGTAGGATTTCATTTGAAAACGGTATTCAAAGAAAACAGATTCAATTTATTGAATAATATCTAGGGAAAAAAAGAATTTACTTTGCATATTGATAAAAATAATATTTATTCTTTTTTTTGATACTTTAAACATATAACCTGTGTAAATGTTATGTAGAATAGAATAAATTTGACTATGAAGCACTAGTTTTCGATGGAAAAGACGATTACAATATACTGTGGAATCGCTATCGAATATGATGGTTTAATGGAAAAAAAAATTAACATTCAAATTGGTTTAGATGCAGCGCGAATATTTTCTAGACTGAATACTTGCGGGTAGAGCTTTTAACTAATAACAAATCAATGATTAATTGGAATTTTTCATAGGTGAACATAAAAAGAAATAAACGAATAATAAGTGAATTATTATTCTTTGGAAAGTTGAGAATATATTATATGCCGAATACGTTTTGCCAAGATCTTTGACTGTTGTAATATATAATCGAATACACTACGTATTTTTTTATTGAGAACTTCTACATAAAACCTTTGAAAAAATTTACCAACTGAATAGTTAAAAGGAAGAGAAAAACTTTACTTAAAATACTAAAATATTCACTCATTATGAAATATTCAATTGTTACAGCTATTACTAATTTCCGAAATCTAATTATCTCATCGTACCTTATATTTATGTGTCAGATATTGATTGAAGCGTAAAACATTTTTACCTTTTTTCCAGTCAACAATTGAATATTGGTCTTCCAAAAATTCGTAATTATAAACATTCTTATATAGGTGCGATCTCTCGGTACCGACGGTTATTGTACATTTTTCAAGTAAAATCAAAGCCAAGTCAGGCATCAACTTGATGAGCTTTCGCATTGGTGTACTGACTAAATAATGTATTAACAAAATTAGTTTATGAGTGATTTCACTAGAATCTCGCTATCATGAAAACGACCTTCTGAAAACGGGATAGAACGCATTGAATTTGCAGATCATTTTTATGATAGAAAAAGTACAGATTTCATTATAAATTTGATAAGCTATCAACAAATTACCATAGACTCATACTGTGTAGGCAAAATGCCCCTGTTTTATCAGCAGAATTAGACGTATTCTTATTTGCAAGCGTGATTGATAATGCAGAAACGTAACCAAAAGTGTTCTAGACAATTGAGTGTAAAATTATGTTTCTTAAAATTTCACGTTGACAAACTTTTAATAGAGGAAGGCATATCCGTAAAAGTCGAGTAATACTTTGACCAGTAGCTGAAATTATGCAGACTAGTAGAATATGTGATTCAATACTATGGAAGCTCCTGTGTTCATACGTAGAATAAATGCATAGTTAGAAATTTCGAGTTTTTAAAATCATAGTTATTCCCCGAAACATAAATCTCAAATCAAATAGAAGTTGCCATGTCTTAATTTCCTAATAGAGCACGTCATATTGCGAATGACACACAATTTGAGTACAATTCTTTATAGCATGAGGTACATCTCGAGGCTACTTAGTTTTTCTTTTGAGATAGTCATGTCAACTAGAGACTTTCCTTATAATTCGATGGTAGGATGCGACATTGACGATGAACCGTATACCGATCCACTCATGATTTAATGGATCTATGGCACCGGTACACATTCAATTTTCCAGTTAGAAGTAACTATTGTAAAAAATAGTGATTATTGCAAACGTTCACCAGATGTTCCAGATATAGGTGAGAATCAAGCCAGTAAGATTTTAGAAACCTATGATGATGATCAATGTGTGTCCATTATCCGCAACTGTGAATCTCAAGTTTTCAGGCTTGCACCTGAAAATAAGAGAACAAAAGCCTATGGTGATGACTGGTTTATAGATATCATTCGATGACCTGAACCTTAAGGTGTCTGAATGATGGATGAAAGCGACCTATGCTGTTGGTTCTTGATGTTCTGATCAATGACATTGGCTATAACTTCGACAGTCGAGACTATGTTTAGGAATATACGATTCTACAGCAGTGGTAGCACCTTTTTCATACACGAATGCAATGATCAAGCTAACAATAGAGCCGGTAGGACCATAAAAACTTACAATAGTAGCTATTGTATAGGCAACCTCAGGTGTGTGAACTCTAAGTCGTCCGAATAGTGGTTAAACCGACCATCACTGTAGGTTTTGTGCACATCCTGATTAGAAACCGATTAGGGTCAGTTGTAATTGGAATCAGTGTAACTCTAGTAACTTCAGTATGAATACGTCATAACCATTGAAACACTATCACTGTTGCATCTTTATTCGACATACAATTCCGACTTCGTCGGAGTCGAATTTACTGAAAAAAATTTTTGAGTCGGAGACGGAGTTGATTACAATATCGCTTGCGACTTTTGCTCCGATAATTTTTTTTCTTATTTACGACAACTTCATTCTGCATATTAACAAAGAAAAGAAACTAATACCTGTCACATAGATTAATAACTAACCTGTGGGGCAGAAAAGTGAGCAAATCACATGATAGTTATAACGTCGGAATGAACAGATAAGACGAAAACATAACTACATCAGTCAAAAACACTATATTAACGTTATTTAAAGTACTATAACTACTTTCATGATCAGTTCTTGATTGTTTAAAAAAAAGAACATCCCAGACAGGTAAAATCGGCAACGAAAATGCGTTTTTAGAAGTAGACATGCGAGTTTTTCACACATTAAAAAAAGAAAAGTACTATTTTTGGGGGAAAAGACGAGTTTGAAGATGATAACACTCATAAACTGTTTTTTTTAAACTTGACTTGTTTAACATGAAAAACGCGCATTATAAAGCATTAAAGAAATCTTTCTCTGTTAAGAGCGTTTTATCTTTAAATGATATTGTTGAAGAGTTTCGAAACTTTTCGGAATTGCAATTGGAGTTAAAAGATGAACATTTTCGGAATCGCAGTCTCGAAAAGGAAATTTTCCAGAGTCAGGTTTTAGAATCAAAAGAATTGACTCCGTAAGGTCTCTAGTGTTTACTGAGAAAACGACCAAAAAAACTTCTTTTATTTCAAGACAGCAGCATTATATTCAACTCTACTTTATTAGAAATCAATTTTATTGTTCTTTTTTTTTCAGAAAAAACGATTTAAATGCCTAAATCATAGTTTTAAAATTAATTATGTTACAGAAAACAATACATGTTTCTTTAGCGTCGATTTGGACTACACATAAATAAGTGGCTTGTTCTAAATGTCGCTCAATGAAGTACATTTCCCCCACAGAAGCCTAGAAATTGGCTAATAAATACAGTAATGTGAAACATATAGATTAAGAGTGAGACTATCTGTAGAAAAAAGTGTACTCCGTGGATATAG